TACTGTGGGCCAGATCACCAAAAGCAAGGCAAAGTAGTGTCTCCCATGGAGCTACATCCTCAAAACCACAGTTTGCCAAACTTCTCCAGAGTACAAATCTTTTTTGGCTTATTTGTCTTCATATGACTTCTTGCTGATCTAATAGCAGGCAGAACTTCAAGGTGGAAGAACAAGAGTCATATTCACTTCTGTATTTGAACTTAACACCTTTAAGTTCTTTCATGACTGTGCTAAGGAGCAAAAAATTAGAGAAGCATTTTTTTTAGATTATAAATGTGTAGCCTCCAAAATGGCTGCCCTTGCTCACAATATTGTCATTGAAACACAGCACAAAGAAAATAAAGAACAAATAAAGCACATACTATTGCCAGCTATAATTATTATAGAACTGTTTTTCAGAGTGTCCAGCAAGCTATGTGCTTCTTAGAAGATCTTTTGGTAACTTTAATACATACATAGACATCCATATTGAAGTTTCAACAAGACTACAGAGCTGAAAAGACTCATCAGAACCAATTTAATTTTTGTCTAACAAGACACTACTTTGTGTATTTTTGCACATATATATCATTTAGGTTTTTTGGTTTTTTACTTAGTACTTTTCCTTTACTCTCCCCAGCAGAATAGCTGAGTCCCCTTGTTTGTACACCTCACAAAAAGAGTTCACTTGTAGAAATATTTTCTATTTTAGAATTGTTTTAGTGATTCTTTGAGCACACTTCTACGCTTTTAAAATCTTTTGGTCACCACCTTCCAGTATTTTCACTATATCATCAAATACTAGGGGGAAACCACAAAAGTACCTTAGAATAATCCTGCTGTTCTGTACTGAGTTCTACAAGCTTTGCTTTCACAGGGAATTATATTTCACCCCTCAAGAGGGCAGGACTGGCTTAGGCTCTCAGAAACCATTGCAGAAAAACCTGACTTCATAAACTTGAAAATAAACAACAGGTGGCTTGTGGAATAGTGCAATTCTCTTTATTTTCCAGAGCATTTACTTGTAAAATCAGGACTCTAATCAGTTCTATGACAGAGAACCATGGCATGCATTAGCATTTCTGAAACATTCAAAGACAGAAGTTGAATGCCTATTTCTAGTCATTCATTAATTATCATTAGGAAATATGGTTTCTACGTACAGTGACTACTTTGTGTATATAACCATTAAAAAAGGAGATTTTTGTCTTCACAAACAGCAAAAACTCTTTTATGTTTCAAAAATCAACGCTTTGTAGCGTATAGTTTGATCAAATAATTTCTTCATTTCTCATTTGTAGAAAAAAAGAAGGCAGAACACCTCAAAAATTAATCACAATCAGGTCTCATATCTGCACCAGGATTTTGTGGTACGCATTTCCTTCATCTTGACTTCTTGACCATACAGTAATTGCTCATATTCTTCACTGTACTTCAGATATAAAAAAGTCCATGTTATCAAGTATCTAGTCCAGATATGTTAAGGAACATACCAGATCAATCTTCCATTTTTAAAAAAGATACTGGACTTCCAAGAGTGAGATATCTATTATGTCTATCAGTAAAAGCAACAGGTTTGACTTTGACAGTGTAATAAAGTGTTCAAATGACCTTTATATGGAAAACTACATGAACTGATTAATAAAAAATGAGAGGTTTAATGACACATTTGTGCAACTGTAAGAAAGAAAATACTGTAACTTTTCTGTATGACTTAAAATTACTTTTAAAAACCTTGTGGGATCTGTCTTTGAAGACAAGTTGAACAGTGTTGATGTCTGCGGATTTTTTATTCAAAATTTGATAATTTAAAAGAGGCTCCCGTGCAGACCTAGTGGATTCATTTTAAACCAATCCTAAGTATTGCACATTTCTCCAGGATAGATGACTCCAGTTCCAATGACTCAAAGCAAACTCCACCAAAACAAGTCTGCATTGTGATAGAGATTTTTCTAATCTCTACCATTACCTTAGATTTGTCTTTCTACTAGTTATTTCAATATTAGCCAGTTCCGCTGTTTAGTTACTACAGAATCACGGAATCACAAAATGGCTGGGCCTAGAAGGGACCTCTGGAGGTCATCTTGTCTAACCCCCTGCTCAAGCAGGGTCACCTAGAGTCACTTGCCCAGGAAAATGTCTAGACAGCTCTTGAATATCTTCAAGGATGGAGACTCCACAACCTTTCTGGGCAACTTGTGTTACCCTCACAGTGGAAAAGCGTCTCCTGATGTTCACCTGGAACCTCCTTTGTTTCAGTTTGTGTCCATTGCTTCCTGTTCTGTCACTGGATACCACCCAAAAGAGCCTGGCTGCATCCTCTTTGCACCCTCCGTTGGGGTATTTATACACATTGTAGCATCTCCTCTGACTCTTCTCCAGGCTGAACAGTTCCAACTCTCTCAGTCTCTCCTCATATGAGAGATGCTTCGGTCCCTTAATCAGCTTCATGACCCTTTACTGGACTGTCTCTGTTAGCTCCTTATTGCTTTCGTACTGGGGAACCTGGAACTAGACACAGCACTATAGGTGTGGCTTACCAGTGGAGAGTAGAGGGGAAGGATCACCTTCCTCAGCCTGTTGGCAGCAATCCTCCTAATGCAGCCCAGGACACTGGTGGACTTATTTGCTGCAAGGGTACATTATTGGCTCATATTCAACTTGGTGTCCACCAGGACCCCCAGGTCCTTTTCTGCAAAGCTGCTTTCCAGCTGGGTCAACCCAGCACATATATTGGTGCATGGGGTTGTTCCTCCCCATGTGAAGGAATTTCCACTTCCCCTTATTGAACTTCATAAGGTTTCTGGCAGCCCATTTATCCAGCCTGTTGAGGACCCTCTGGATGACAGCACAACCCTCCGGTGTATCAGGCAGTCCTCCCAGTTTTGTGTTATCAGCAAACTTGGTGAGGGTATACTCTGCCTCATCATCTAGACCATTAATGAAGATGTTAAACAGGATCTGACCCAGGTTTGACCCCTTGGGTACACCACTCATTACTGGCCTCCAAACAGACTTTGTGGTGCTGATCACCACCATCACGGGCCTGGCTGTTCAGCCAGTTTTCAGTCCACTGCACTGTTTGCTCATCCACTCAATTTTTTTATTGATTAAGTAAATCTACAGTTTATTACTCTCCTTCAGTCACTCTAAAGTTTCTCATTCTGCTTGTTTGCCAGTAACTTTAAACAACGTGGCACAGATTTTTGCATCTCGTAAGTTTCAAATGTAATTCTGTGCTTCACAGAAACTTTACAGAAAAGCTTATAGTAATAAACATTGCAGGAGTCTATTATTTGTGAAATAGGTTGGAATATATCCCCAAAGGAAAATTTTGGACAACCTTCGTTTTGTTGCTTTTGGTTGGTTTTTAAAAAGACATTCAGTACTTTAGGAAAGAGCCACAAAAATACTTTTGGATGCAAGTCTTCCTTTTACATAACCTTTGCACATTGTCACATTTCTTATGAAAATTCCTATTTTCCTCTTTACGTTATTCACTTCCTCATTAAGGAGATCTCCATAAAGAAATGTACATGTATTGCATGCCCCTCAAGGCCCATTGCCTCCTCATTTTCTCTCACATTAAAAGTGACTGATCTTATTTTTCACAGCAATATTTTCCTGTCTTGGGAGGTTTTCCTTATGGGAACATGATTTTCATCAGGACTATCTGTCTATTGTAAGATCTAGCCAGTCAGTGTTTAGATATCATCAAAAAGACTCTGACTCAGCCAGACCGATAATAACAATTTGAATAAATTACATACAAAAGAGCTGTCAAAGTATAATCTGTTTAATGGTAGACTATTTGAAAACCAAACATTTGCTGGGTAAATATGCTTAAACATGGTTGAATTTTCAGCACCTCTGATAGTACCTTATTTACAGATTGTTGTTTTTATTATAACAATATTTGTGTACTATTAATGTTTAATGAAGTGTATCACCTTAGGCATCATAGATTTTATTTCACTACCACTCTTGAGATGTTGAAAGGTTGCAAAAATATAATTTTTCAAAACTGAGCAAGATCTACCATATTTCTAGAATTTTAAGAGATTGTGCACTTCATTGTGGTTTTAACTATATTGTTAACAAATGAGATCACACTTTCAGAATGGTTTTGTGGGTCAAACTGCATGGTCTAGATTACACTTCAGCCTGGATTCTTGCTCCTACCACTCCTTTGTATGAAAATTCCTTCATATGGGAGAAATCCTGTCTGGACCTTTTTCTCCTTTCTTCCTCCGTACTTTGCTAACATGGTGGAGTGTTTTCAGTAGATCAGAGTGATCCTTGCAAACTCAGCAAGAGGAAGAAATGTAATGGTTACACTAGACACAGTCTGGATGTTAATTTGAACCAGTAGTCAAAGTAGGTTTCCTTTAAGCATCTTGCTTCCAGCACTAGATATCAACATCTGAGTACGTTAACTGAAACATTTAATTACATGTAGTGTTGTTAGTTGTCGTATCTATCTACTGATCTATAAAACTGCTTAACAATTAATGTTAATTGCCTACTTAATTATATTTGCAGTCCCTTAAGGTCATGAGTATTTACTCACAACTTATATTGTGCATCTGTAAAAGATAACTGCCAAGAAAAACAGTGGTCTGCTTGTAGAGGGACAGCTTAAAAAAGTGATTTTACAACTCCAGTCTTTGGAGTCAACACATTCTCACTGTTCAGTTAAAATGGCTGATCTTGCTTATAGAGCACTAGAAATTTTCAGGATGTTATTTGGTTAAGATTTTTACTTAAAATCTTAAGGCTAGAGGGGAACCGCAGTCTTGGTGGTGTTTGGGTTTTGGTTTTTTGTTTTTGTTTTGTGTTGCTTTGTTTTTTAATTATTTAATGCAGTTCCTACTTCCAAAATTTCTCTTCATTGTTTTATTTATAACTTTTTCTGCACTGACTCAATCCTGAAACAATAAGATCAGTTCCATGAGCAGACTACATAGCTCAAACTCTGCTTTGATTTTCCTCCTGCTCAATCACTTTGAGGCCTGGGCACTATGTATGTGGCTCAGGAGAAGCTTAATGCAGAGTGTTTGTATATAACTGTTTATCACTCTTTTCAGAAGACCAGATACTATCAACTTTCCAGAAAAGAAGTAAAGGCCAGTAGATTTCTTTCTTTATTTTTTTTAATGCCTAAAAAGGAGCAAAACAGTGCAGAACATTAATTTTAGTTAGAAAAGCAGTTCAAGTGATAAAAATCTCCCAGACAAGACCAGTCTATTCTGGAGAGATCATCTTGAAATTCTTTAGTGTCTTTCAAATTTCTAGTTTTGGACAGTATCTTCAAGCTGGGACAAATTTTTTGAAATCATGATTTGTCTATGAATAGCTGTCTATTGAATCACAGGTCTAAGACTAAAGTAATTTCATCTATGTGTTATACCCGACTATAAAAGCATGATACAAAGCATCTCAGACAGTAAACATAATCATGTTTATCTGATTAAAAATAGCACAGGTATTAGACTTATTGTCCTGTTAGCACAAGGAATTCCATAGTAAATCCTTATGGTATTTATTCATGGTATTTATTCCAGAAAGACAAAATACATGTTTCTGACAATGAAAGTGTCTCCTCTTTGTCAGTAGGGATGTCAGAGTATTCATAAACCCAAAATGAATTTTAGATTTCTCTAGTTGAGTGTTATAATCATACTGCCAAATGCAAAACAGGCAAAAGAATTCTGAATGGATCTGTCAATATATCCTCTTACACTAGACTGATGTAGTAAAATATCATGTGTTTAGCTGTGCAATGTTCTTGCTACTTAGTGCATGGAAATATTTTTGAATTCACTCTTCTGAAAGAAAAAGATAGAGAAAAGCAGAATTTCATAACAGAAAAAAAAAAGAGCTCTGTACAATAGTATCAATAACCTCTGCACTAATAATTAGTGTGTTGACATAGTTTTGAAATATATCTCATTTCCAATAAATAAATGTATAAACATATCACTGAAGTGCATTGTCAAATTTTAGCACATTGACATTATAATCCAAATATTGAACAAAACTGATTTTCTCTTTCTTGTTTTTTAAGATCCGGATTTTAAGGACCTTGGCGTTTTGAAACCCTTGCCAGGTTGGTATGTTGTTTTTTTTTTTTTTTAACTTGGAGGCCTGTGCACTCTGCTGTAGTAAATATTTTTGTTTGCTGTTCAGGTTTCATTTTTTCTGGTATTTTGTTATTCAGTTTGTGAGTTTGAGATGGGAGGACCTGAAGGAATTGTGGAATCAATACAAATTATCAAAGAAGGAAAAGCTTCTGAAACTGAAGCAGTAGACTGTAAATGGTACATCCGAGCACCACCCCAGTCCAAGGTCAGTCCTTCTTCCACTTGCTGATTTCCCATTTATTTTAAGAAATTGACTTTTTAAACATGTTGTGCATTTCTTAGTACAGTCAGATCTTGTTTAATAGCTTTACAGCTTGAACCTGTAAACTATTTTTTTCCTTCTGCTGTCACCTCAGAAAAAATAATCTTCTTTCTCTATAAATAATGATGTGGGCAGTGTCAATGTGCTTTTTGTGCAGTAAGTAATTTTCTCAATTTAATCTTTAATTTTGCTCATATTTTTTAGGAAACAATGTGTTTTCTTAAGCAGGAAGTAATCTTATGACTTTAATTTTTAATATATTTCAAATACCTAATATAGAGACTACTAAGGGGACACTGCTGTCTCCCTAAGGTCATCATTATTTCTCATCTGGGAACTGTGAAAATGGAGCCAAGGTAAATTCATGTTCCTCTGTATGACGCCTTTAGTTCCTTTGGTTTAGAGTCACAGACAAAAAGAGACAGTGTTCTCATTTCTTCCATCACAGTCAGAAAGCCATGGTTTTGTGAAAAACAGGAGAGGGCTGCAATGAATTTAACAATTTTTTTTCTCGGATACTGTTTGAGTTCCTCTCTTATCAATGGCTTATCAGTTATTATATGGATTAATTGTTGCTGGCTACACTATCATTTCTCCTCGCTTTGCAATTGGAATGGCTTTGTGCCTCCCACCTACTTCCATTCACTGTGTTAAAGACAACTCCACTTTATATTTTTTCTAGCTGTCTTTTATTGGATGAGAATGGTTTTACAATGTAGAATTTATGTCCACTAATCTCTGCCATCTTTAAACAGATAAGGGTTTTTTTGTATAATCTCAGAGCAGACTGTACTGAGTATATCTAACTGTTCCAGCATTTGGTATTGAATAAGCAGGAGGAAGGGTTTCCAGAAGAGAAAAACTCATTAGTATCAGCATTTTTCTACTGTGAAAGTTTAGGAGAGGAGTTGAATAGTTGGCTCATAAAGACTACAGAAAAAATATTTCCAGAATATACTTTAATCTCTCTCTCTCTCTTTTTTTTTTTTTTTTTTTTTTTTTTTGGATAAAGTCAGTATTCACAGAGGTTTTCAATTAAGTAGGTGAGCTTCCCACTTTGCTACAGTAAGTAGCTATAGACATGAAATGACTGGACTCATGCATGATTATTGCATAGTCTATATACTTAGGTATTAGTAGAAAGAAAATGGGTAAACACAAAATTAGAATTGTGCTTACTAGAATCAGCACAACTAAATAAATTAATAAAATTTTCCTGTAGTCTTAGTTTCAGTTTATGCTTGGTTAGTAGATAATGTCATTGTGATAGTCTCACTTGATCTGACTCTAAAGTTCTATATGATTTGAAGTTCTGCTAGAAATCCCGTATTTACTTACTCGTAGGATTCATCCACACTTCAGTCCTGACGTAACAATACAAATTGTGTTGCTACATAACCATAAGCTCGGTGTGTAACAGAAGAATGTCACACTACCATTGTCAACAGAGGATTAAAGATTGTTTCTTCATGAACTTCTATATCTGCATTTAGTTATCTTGCATTTCAAAAAGTGTATACCAGCCGAAGCTCATCTGGAAGACAGAACAGAGAGAGAGTTCTAGAAAACCTGACTAGAAGTTATTTAATGTGATCTAGAATATTTTGTGAAGGAGTATGATACCAGATAGTACAAGGCTTTTACAATGAGGAAGGAATGCTCTGATGTCCATGTCTGTAGGATAAGTCATGGTCCTGCACTCTGAAAGAAAGATTCAGGTTAGATACTAGGGAAGAGAATTTCAAGCAACAAGAAGGGTAATATGAATGATTGGTTAAGGAAGTTTGTTCAACCAGCATTGCTAGTTGTCTTAAAGTGCAGGTTAGGTAACATCCTATGAATAGTGAGAGAAACATTACTAATCCTACCTTTAGGCACAGGGAAGGGCTGGGTCATCTCTTGTCCAATCTTGCTGCTTCCATATTACAGAATTCTCTGGATAGAGAGATAGGACAATATAAAAGCATATAAGCCAGTGTTTCCTAACGTGACGTTGAAAGCTTTTTCAGCAAGCTAGGAAAAAACAGTTTCCAAGCTCTATTCATCTTAGAGGGGTAAGTCCAATTTATCACTGGACCTTTCTTAGTGTGGTTTTCACATATATATATATATGTAAACACAAAAATACATAAATGTATGTGCACACACACACATGCTATCACCATACTGAGACAAGATGAAAAAATTTCAGATATTAAGGAAGGAATTAGTGGATAAAATTTTAGAAAACCTTGTACGGAGTAAGATTTATGGTAAAATGGTTTATGGGCCTGATTCAATTGAACTGGATTCTATTGTCCATATTTTCAGTCAGTTTCCTTTGTGCATATCTAACCTTGAATTAATGACATATTCAGTACAATAATTCAGTGATATCATTCTAATTTATGGCAGCTTGCACCTATGAAAACAGGCTCTCCTGCTAAGAACAGTAAGAACTCGGCAGACGTCTTTAAATCCACATGTTCCTGTACTCTGGGCTGCACAGTTTGTTACTGGGAACTATGCCTAAAAGGCCAGAGTTTCTCAGACAGAGTTTGTGTTGGATCTTTACATCTTTAGTTTCTTAATTAAACTGTGCCAGAGTGTGGGCTGCTTGCAATTTAATTTGGCTTAAGCTCATCCAGTCTACACTGTCTGCAGAAGCAAGATGCAAGTCCTTGCCTTGGTTTGCAATTCCAGATTCAAGCCAAGTCTGAGCTCAACGTATGAGCAATGAGATCAGTCAGGGCATATGGACTTGATATCTCTAAGCCTGAGCTTCAAACTGACAGTCTGCATGTAACATTGTTGCTATGCTCAGAAAGCTGGAATGGGACAGAGAACAGCTAATTTCTTGCACAATCTTAAAATAGAGCCATCACTGAGTATCCTGTAGAACCAAAAGTAAAATGCTGAAAATTCATGCAGAACTGAAGCTTTCTGGAAATGCGGAAGACAACAGAAGGCAGTTTAAACACAACTTCAATCTACAGGCAGACCTGGAGCCTTATATTTGACAGTGACTGGTTGCAAAGTGTGCCTTTCTTGTAATCACTCAAAAGTCAGCTCCTGACGAGTGTGATAGCTATGAATCTGGAGTTCAGAAAGCCTGGGGTTCTGCACTTTGTATAGAAACAGACTTTAATCAGTAGAGATCAAGAATGGAAAATGCAGAAGAGAGCTGCTGACCAAACGTGCCAACCTACGCAAAAAATAGTAAAGAGCTGGAGGAACCTCCCCATCCCAAATTCTTCTCTGTAGAACAAAGCCCAATGGAGGAAGTGGATAAGCTTATTGCAGCGGGGTTTGAAAAATTTCAGAGATATCATTTGTTACAGCAGTGGATAAGCAAAGAATCCTCTCTTTATGAACAGAAAATAAGAAAATTAAAAGAATCATAGTATTTTCTCACTTTTTGTTAAGGGTGAAACATTAGAGAATAATATTGACAGCAAGGGGTTTTCTATTTTGGATTTGTCAGCAGAGTTTAATAAGGAACCCCAGGAAGATGATGCATGTTTGTGCTCAGGTAGCACTCCCTTTGGTGGGTAACTTTCCCAGCAAGGTACTGTTGTACCATGCTTTATCCTTGAGAGGTTTTGTAAGGAAAAAAGGGACAGCAGAAATTAATGATAGAAGTATGATGTTCTGATGGTGTCAAAAAACAGTAAGCAGTGCTTATAATCAGAAGCTCTGGTCAGCTCAGGAAAGAGCATCCAAACTACAGATAGAGAAGCATTAATTTGAAACCAGTCCAGTGGAATCCAGTCATTTAGACTGGACAACTAGTCTAGACATGCCACAAGAAATAAAATGAAGTTGTAGGCCAGTTAGGCAATGTCCAATTTTCCCACCCCACCTGAGCACACTACTGGGCAAAGAAATCTTTACAGGTTATAGGATGCAAGACTTAATAAAAATCTTAAGAAACTGAAAGAATTCATTAACGAGTATCTTTTTTTTGACAAATGATTGCAGTATGTGGTATCCTTAAATCTGAGCTTCCTATGGGTGGTGACGTTTGTTTCAAACAGAGCTGTTGGGGACCAGTGGGAGAGGGATGTGCAGTGAGGGCAGCGTGAGGGTGGCCATAGGGCCAGGACATGGCTGATGAGGAGAGCTGGGCAGGCCTAGCCATGGTGGGTGGGGCATGGCCCTGGATGGGCTCATCCATGGCCATGGGGCCAGCCATATCTTGAGCTGTGGTGACAGCTCGGAGAGGCAGGGCTGGGGCAGTGAAGCTTGAGGTTGGATGTGGACCAAAAGCCCAGTGGAACCAAGTCACTTGCATATTTACAGAGAATAGGTATGGCTACCTGGTAGAGGTTCTAGATCACTTATTACTGTTTTCATGGTGGACCTTGTATCCATGTACCTGATCAGAGAAATGATGCTTTCGGTTCCAGGCACTTGACTTCCAGACTGAATGTGGTCTGGAGAGCGAAAGGGCCGTTGCACACACTTTTCTGAGACAGTTAGGAAGAAACATGTGGTGAAGCAAATTGCAGAGCTACAAGTCTGTATAAACCTGTCTAACTACCGCAAAACATTTTCTGATCTCAGATGTGAAGTGGAAACTCATGCTCTCAGATGACATCTGCAAGAAAAAATTAAGCTGTCGGCACTAATGGACTAGCATTTCCCTAATTTTTTGAGGCTTCTTAATTAGATGAAGAAGAGAAGCTTTAAGTAGCACACTAAAATTTGGTAGGAGGCATTTGAGTTGTAATTCCTGAAATGTTACAGAAAAATGAAATTTAGAGACTGAAAAACCTAATAGCCAGAGACACTTTTACAGGCTTCAGATGAGCTCCATCTCTGAAGAAGCTCTGAAGCTTGCTAACATACAGATAATGCACATAATATTATGATGAAAAAAAAGCCAACACATCTATATCACGTCCCTGGAACAAGGTGAACATACCACATTTAAACAAGTAGAAAATACTGTTTACCTATGT